ATAATAACCCTACAGTATCCTTCACATGTTTGAAACCCACCCAAGGGGAGCTGTGACCAGTGAGCAATCTTTGAAAATTAATTTTACAGCGTTGCCAGAATTCTTCATGTAATGAAAGGACATGTCAGTAGGTGTTAACACTCCAAATGCCTGGTAAGCAAATTCATATCAAAAAGGTTCAGGTTTCAGCTAATGGACTCTGGCTATTCAACAGCAACTGGAAAATTAGCTACTTTTAATGAGAAATGAACCAATGATCTTGTATCACCCATGTATTTGGAGACACTGATACACCTGAAGAAATGAAAGCCCCTTGGAATGCGTGTATTTGTGAGTATATGTGGTCTATATGTACCGAATCAAAATGCATATTGAAGAAATCCCTGTAACATTTATAAACATTTAATACACATTAAAATTGCACAGTATCGTGCCTGTGAAATACTATGGGAAATTCAAGCTGAGATTGTTAACTGTTTTTCCAAATCTTAGTAACACATCAGGGTGGAAAAAAAAACTAACATCGATTGCTTCAAAACAATACACAAACCTATTTTAAAATGAATATCCTTAAAAGAAGGGTTTTATCTGGTAACAGAATGCATGGAAATTTCAATGACCTGAAAATAATCTCAACCTAAGTCCAGATAATAACATATAAGTTAAGTATATGTCTCAATTCACAGATTAGTAGCTCTCGATCATTTTAATTAGAATAAAGATTAGCATGCAGACTTCAGCAGCAAATGCTTCTCGAATCCTTTCAGAAAGAATTATACGTAAAGTCAGTCATGATTTAAAAAACAACTTTGTCAGTTTTCACAGGAACAAAATTAATTCATTAAAAAGAATACAATTACATTTTGATCAAAACCGTCAATGTGGTGAAACAATCAAATAACACCCTGTGAATGCCATACTTTTACGATCCCTGACATTCAAAGGAGGGCACGTGAAAAGTACTGTAAGGACTGCCAGAGTTACATTTGGTCTTTAGTAATCAGTATACCCGTCAAGACCATGAGTGACTGAGAGCAATACTGGATCACTGGAAACAGACATCAGAGCCCAGAAATACATGTGAAGGAAGCACATCTTGCATGAACTGGCACTGGGGATGAGCACCCTGGGCAGAGAAAGGCACACCTTCTACGTACCTAGAAAGAATAATTGCCCCTCGATTTACACCAGCCCAGGACTTCAGGTTCTTCATCCCAACATGCTCTACGAGTGTTTTTGCAAAACAGCCTGTAAAGTAAACCAAAACTTAATGCATGTCACATACCAAGATTTAAACTCCCAATTTCCCTCTCTACTACCCTTAAATCTGGAAACATGTTCTGATAAGAAAGCTAATAAAAAGAGTTCTCACCCAGTATCACTTAACACAGAAACTCTAGCTCAGGTTTACACAATGTGCTTTTAATACAGCCATTTCCTCCAACTCTGATCTAAATCTTCAGCTATGTTTAGCAGTAATTACTCAATAGAAACAATGAATTCTTATAAAACGCTTATTTGGTCATGTTTGCATTTCTTTATACTATTTAATAATTTAACCCTGACCTGAAAGTTATTCAGGAAGTAAATGTTTGACAGCAGCACCTTGTGTTTGGTTAAAATCTAGTTTTCACTCATGGAAAATGCTCACTCGGAAGGTATCATGAACACAATGGTCAAATGACTATTCTGGCTTACACCTGGTAATTTCTCGCTACACCACTGAACATCTGTTCAACCATCAAAAACATCATTCATCTCTTGCTATTATAGTACATCTGATTCCCAAGGTCTTGGTGTATCATCTTATTCACCGTGCCATCTCAGTGTAACTAATCCTTGGACAAAGGAGAAATTCTGAAGACTAGGATTTAGTACAGATGGAGGCATGTACAACCTATCTTGAAGGCAAACATCTTGGGTAGGTAGCATGTACAATTCATTCAAAGATACTCAAAAGTGAGGAGCCTTTAAAAGCCGAGAGGCCTATGGCTATTACATTCTTCACAGCATGTGCCAAAGGGGACAGAAATCAGCTGGTGAGGCAGACAGTGCTTTTCAAAGGTGACCACAATAGTATCTCCGTCCTGTGTACTCTCCTAGAATCCTGTCATTCCCCCATCTAGAGGTGGAACTGATGTCTTCTCCTTTCAAACTAGGTGAGCCTTTGTGACTGACTTAACCAAGAGAGAACATTCCAAGTGAACTTAAATAACCTCTGAGGCTGACTCATGAAACTACCATGCACCTACTTTGTCCTCTTAAAACTCAACCACCATATTTTAAGGAAATTGACAGCCTAGGGAGAGGAACTGAGGCTGCTGGGCCTGGCCACCGCCAGCCACTGAGAAGTGGGTACTCCAGCTCCAAGCCAAGCAGCCCCAGATCACTGAGAGCAGGAGCAAGCTCCACCAAACTCCAACCAGTGATTGTAGTTCTGAAAACTACTAAGTTTTGAGGTGGCTTGTTACACAGCAACAGATAACCAAGACAGCTAGCCACTCATTTAGTGCTACATGAAAATGACCAATACATCAGGTCCCAACAGAATCTATATAAGGAATTCTTCATATGTTAAAAGTAAGCCAGACAACTTTTCTGACATAAACTCAGCTCAGCTATGCACCAAATTTAATAATGAAAAAGATAACTCAATATGTTATTTTTTTTCTTCAAAATTTATTACAAGAAGCTTTCTCTTTCATAAAAAAATTTACAGTGAGAAACAGGCCCAGGCCCCTATTCTTAAAGGCGGAGTGAGAAGTGAGTTCCACTGCCACACTGATCGCCTCAGCAGCCATTACAACTGCGACTTGCCTCAGGGCGTAAATTTATGATTGTCATTTTTTCCAGACACAGTCACAGAAAGCCCAAACTGGTTCAGCTCAGTGGGGGAGGTCTCTCTAGTGGCTAAAATACCAGAGGGAGTTTTAATTTAGAAAGAGAGGGTCTGGTCAAAGGCAGGACTGAGAGGAAAGCGATATGCAAATTTCCAGTTAGATAAAATGTGCTGCCCTCCTCTTGAGAGCTGCGTTTCTACAGAGCAGCTGTCAGGTTCATTTACAACCAGAAAGTGCCAAGGACTTTGGTCATATGTATTTTAGTGCCCAACAGGCACCAGTTCAAAATCCTGTGTGAGGATCATCTTCTTCTGCTTGTCCTTTCTTCAAAGCTAGAGATAAACATCATGCTTTTCAGTTGGGGCGATGGTACTCATACACTGGCCCTGCTGCTCTGCTCTCACCATCCTCAGGGAACAGGATGGCATTTTAGAGCACTGGACAAGCCCGTCTTGAAGGCTGAAGTTGCAGAGGAGGGAGGGAAGGGATGGAGGGTGGGAAAGGGAAAGAAAATGAAAGGATTCTAGGAGACAAACTTCCAGGAGAAGCAGCATTATTTGTAACCACTAAATCATTTCTTATTCACAGACATCATTTCTAAACACTCAACAAACCTTCATTTGAATGTAAAAGGCCAGCATAAAGTTCAGGGATGCCAGACATTGCTGAAATTCCACACACAATACTAGGAAAGGTCAGGTTTCCAGCCTACCTTCTCTTCCATTTTCTTTCATGTTTTCATCTTGCTCTATTAACCACTTCAGAACTAGATGTCCTGCAGGATGCTCTGCAATGTGAAGCTGTGAGGAGTCAAGAACAAGTTAATTTAAAAAGCTGTTCTCATCCATCCTGTATCACCACAGATAAGGACTCAGGCAAACTGAAAGTTCCACACGGCTTAAGAGGTCTTTATCTAGAATGACCTGGAGGGGTCAGAGAGCTACTCCAACCCCCAGACTGAAATGAAATGGTTATTCAAGCTAACACAGCCAGTGAGGCAGTCAGACTTGGCTTCATGAGCTCCAGTTTGAACGACACCACTACAGGGCTCATTTGAGATGGCGGGAACCACCTTCCGGACTGTCATAAGCAGTTCTGAGGAACACAGGATCCTACCGGACAGAACACTACAGCAGAAACAACACACCTGGTGCTGAGTGGTGCCTAAGTACAGGGGACCACCTGCACACAAGGAGCACTGCCTGATGAGCGGCCAGGAAGCCTCTTCCCGGCTCCACTGCTCCTCGCCAAGGGCCGCATCAATTGCTGGCACAGCACCTAGGCTCTCGGCCTGCAGCCTGGGACACGCCGGGCTCCGTTTCCCCACAGAGGAGCCTTCACTATGCACGCATCTCCCCGATGCGTTAAGACGATCTGCTCTACGAGTAGGGCCAGGCCCTCTCAAAGAGTCACGGCCCACTTCCCTTCTCTCCCCGTCTCGCATGTCAGAACACAGCAGGCTCCCCATACTTGTCTGCTCATCGGCTTACACCCCGGTGCAGGGTTGCCACTGACCGGCTCCTGCCTCCCTCATCCCTTTGCTCACTGACTTCCAACCCCCTGTGCCCTCTATTCTCAAACAGGCCGAGCTCCTGCCTCCCTCCAGGCTGCCGCATGTGCTCTTCTCTCTGCCTAAAATCTTCTTTCTTCCCTCAGCCACCAATCCTAGGATGTCAGCCCAGCCTTCACTGCCTCAGGAAGTCTTCCTAGGACAGGCTGCCTCCCATTCGTATACAAGCCCATTGAACTTGGAGTTTTCCTTCACAGCACTTATCTCTACCCTAAATTAAATAATGATCTGTGTACACATTTATATAAATATTGTGTTCCTCAAAATGGTATGCCTTTTCTTTGGGCAGGGGAGGGGAGGAAGCGTTGACCACTGCCTAGCACATATGAGGCGCATGAACCAATAAACTTAAGTTACAAGGCAGGATAACACGAGGCCCAAATAACATGGGCAGGAGCGATCAGAAAGAGCAAAGATTTTCTGATCCCGAGGGAATTAAGGAAGACTTCCTGGAGAAGGATTCGGAGGACCCTGAAGGACAAACAAGGCTTTCCACAGGAAGAGCAGAGGAAAGTGGAAACCCGGGCAGCACCTGATGCTGAGGAAAAGAAGTACAGACACGAGAGAAGGGCAAAAGTCCACAGGAAGTTCAAAACAGAACGAAGGACAAAGACCGTGCCAGAAAGACAGCCTGGGTCAATCACGGACAACACTAAGAGGATGCTGTGTTCGCTCCGCAGGTCCTGCGGAGTCCTCAGAAGTGTGAGAAAGACAGTGTAACAGCAGTACTGGGTTGTGAATTCAGAATTCCCAAATGCACTGTTGGTACGAGGTGTGTGGGGATGACTACTGCGCATCTCTTTATGGCAGTGTTCTCAGTGACTGGAGTTTTCGCAGCCACTGCAGCTTTCCTGCCTGTCTCGTGATAGCACGTCACCTCTCCATCCTTGCCACCAGGATGCAGCTCTGATGCCGCCAAACTGGCGATGGCATTCATGGCAGGCTGGGTATCTCCAATGGCCGCTCCCAGGATGTCACACACCAGCACACACGCGGACTTATCCAGCACCACCTCTTGGGCGTGTTCCTGAAGGTAGTTTAGCAAAGCTGGAGAAATGGACTCCAAGAGCTCTCGTCGCCGGATTTCTGTGTCTTTCTTACTGTGGGAACACGTCGAATGAAGAATTAAGGTAAGATGAATGGCAAAGGAAGTATGGGGGTTTTGCTGTCACAGAAACCTCTAACGGCATGTAACAGTGTCACACGCTACTGTAACTGGCTGTCTTTCTCCTGTGCATGCAGATAAGCGATTTGAGGGCAGGATACCTGTCTTTGTGTCTCCAGAATCTGAATAGTGCCTGGCGCAGAACGAGCACTCAATACACGAAGCTTGTTTTCTATAACACGAAAAAGTCCTGAACCAATCCGGACTCAAGTTACAATAACAACAACATATCTTACCTGACAACACGTTTAGTTGCTTTATGGATTCTACTCCCCAGAGCATTTGATTAAGTGGCCAACAGCTTTAAAAATAAACAAAACCAAAGCAAACCACACACCGGAGTGCCTACTATCTGCCAGACCTGAGAGGCACTCTTTCGGCATGACGCTCTGATTTCCTTTCCAAACAGAAACTTTACGAACCTGTCAAAACTAGAGGCTTAAAAATGGAATGCACCTTTGAGTTTTAGAAAGGGAGAGAGCATGAGAGGTGTACACGTATGCGTACATTTCTGGAAGCAAGTGCCACCCAAAACGAACAATCAGAGCGGAGGGGTAAAGGGCTCCAGCCAGGCTCCTGACCCTTACCTGTGTGCGTTTCCGTCTCCTTTCTGCAGGACTTCAATGATCTCTCGTACCGTGTGTGCAGGATCTCTGGGGCTTAGTAAATACAACAGGACCTTCCTTCCATATTTGTCATTTACTATGTTAGGCAAGGAATTAATGATTTCCTGTAAAATAATAGAAACCAACAGTAAATCTATGTGTTTAAGGTCTACTGTGCTTGGAACCTGAGAGGGAAAGGATTCTTCACTGTCTTCCCCAAGGTACTGAATGACAAATACAGAGCTAGTTCTGCAATCGTTTCGTTAAAGCACAAAGAGACGTGCACTTGGAACACAGAAGGGCCTCCTTCCTGAGACTAGCACTGCTGAGCAACCCATTTATGTCTAACTGACCAAGCTCAAGGACTTAAAAAAAAACATTTAAAGCAGTCATCTTCATTCATTGTGAACACTATTTCTTAGGCCACTATTACTTGGGACATTGCTTGCTGAGGCCACTGAGCAGATACAGTTAGCTTGCAGCTGCCCTTAAATGGAGCATCAGCATTGATGAAGGCCATTCCTGTTAGAATTTCCCCACTGAGACGTATGTGAAGGGAGGCAAAGAAATTCTGTTAAACAGAACAAGTGGATAAAGGCTTTTAAAGTTAGGTTACTTATTCATGGCAAATGAAGACTGTTTAAAGTACTCACTGAAAACAAAAAGAAAGGGAAGGGAAATAAAGGCAGAAAGACTCCATGGAGCCGTTACAAATAATTGCATTCTACGACATTTCCAATCAACTTACCAAGAACAGTAACCTTCTTTTCTAGTTGTCTGAATTTAAGGAACAAAGGCAATGTCATCCCCACCTCAGCTAAGCTGCTGGGTAGACTGGTGATGTTTGTAAAGACAGAAAAGTCACTGTTTTCAAATTCCTTTATTCTTAATAGAAAATATGCAACAGAAAAATCACGAGCTTTTCCCTCTCTAACATTCCTATTTCTTTTAATAAACCTAATAAATATTCAAAGCCATGTGTGTTTGAACGCCAGAGATTCTTCAGAACTGGCTGGGGCCATAGAAAGAATTCAGTCCAACCACCCAGGCTGACACATAAGGAACCCAGAAAGGGGAGAGGTGACTTGCAGGAGGACGTAAGAGTGTCAGTGAAAGTCCTGTGACCAGTCCTGGTCCCCTGACTCCAATTCTAGTCTCTTTCGAAGAAAACAAGACACCTCTCTCTTAAGGAAAGGAGTTCTCCATGAGACTATATACTCAGATCTGCTGTTCTCTTCAGCGCCCACTAACTACAGTGAGATCAGTAATTTTAGTTCAAAAAAAGCTAAAAATTAGGTACATTAGATCCAACCACCTCAAAAGGAATATAAATTTCAACTACCAAGAAAAAAATAAACTTAAAATTTCAGTAATAAAGAGGAAGACAGGGAAAAAAATGTATATAGCTTATCACGGGGATGGGAGCTCTTTTGCAGTTTCAAGGCAAACGTGCCCCAAAGCAGACTCAGTATACGCATTTTTGATAAAGAAGCATTTAGTGTCACAAATATGGGCTACCTTTTGGTGTGGTTTTGTCTATTTAAGGTTTAACTGACTCACACAAGAAGACAAATGCTTTAATTTGTTGAAAGAAGAGAATGAGAATGATACATAGCTTAGACCAACTTCTACAATCATTAAAACACCCCCAACAGCTTTGCTGTCCTTAAAAAGCACTCTGGGGTATTATACCTTTAAACTTTTAAAGCACTTGCTTTTTTGGAGGGAAAAAAAGTGTGTACGTGTGTGTGAGGGGAAGTATGCAGTGAAGAACTATAAATGGCTGCTATTTACTTTCAGTTAATTTTTTTCTTGGTATAAGGAAGAAAAGGGGTGGCGTGAAGCCAGCCATGTATTCCTCACCGTACGTGACCTTCTCTGTGGGTTCTACACTTAAGGACTAGTGCAACGCATTTGTCTTGGGCAGAAATGGTTTCACCTCAACACAAGATGCACATAAAATAAAATAAAATTCATGCAAAAATACTGCTCAAGAACTAGTCCTCAAATTCATTGAACTTCTACTGCCCTTCAGTTTGTAACTAAGGAATTTAGCATCTAAACTTATGTTGGTCTAAGGTTCTTAAAAGAATGCAATGTTTATAAACTAACAATCATATGAAACTAAAAAATGTTTACTTAAAAATGTGGTATCTTTTCATTCTCCCCCCCAACCCCCCCCAATTCTTGGATTCCTACCCGTAGAAACATTCATCTTGGAAAAAATAAAAGGAAACAGTATGAGCGTTGCTAAATTATACAGTAAATTCATTTCTCTTTAGCCTGGCTTATGCACGAAAAGGAGAGAAATTTCCCAACGATCACCTGGGGAACACTAACTAGAAGAGTTAACATGCAGAGACACAAGAGGCAGCTATAGTGCAGTTGGTTTTGTGCTGAATTTGGTCTCTGGGTTCAAGCTGCGTAGACCTTGGCAAATCCTTTAACCTCTCTACACATCAATTCCCTTATCTGCAAAAGCAAATGATACACCTGCCTGCCCTGTGGGCCACCACTGGAGCAAATCAGAAAATTCACACTACAAACTGAAAACTGCTGTAAAGTAATGCTGTTCGTATGAAGAACACCTCTCAGAATACAGCATCTTTAACTAAGGAGATTAAATAAAGATGCTGGGGTTGTGAGTTTGGCATCCTCGAAAGAGAGAGAACCCCAACAATGAAGGTTTAAATATAAAGGTTTTCAACTTCATGCTCCCTCTTATAAGAATTAACTTAGAGCAAGTCGCAACAAGGGTCACTTGTAATTTCCTCCTCTTGTGTTTTACTCTAAAGAAGGTATGTAAACAAGAGAAGCACAGGAAGAACCAAAGACCTCCCTTCTGAAGATGTGTAGCCGTTCTCCTTGTGTTGGATCCCAGTCAGATTCTTTGGCGTTCCTGTTTTGCCAACCTTCTTTTAAAAAGGAAAGTAAAGGTCAAAATGAAAGGTGCACACTGGAAGTAGGGTTACAGCGCATATGCGTTTTCAGTGGAAGAAAGAAAGACATGCAAAACGCAACATTACTGAGAACCAGGCCCCTCCATGATGCACACACCCCTACAGGAAGTTGTGTGTAAGGAACAGAAAGAAACGCAGCTGGCTTTGACCATAGAGAGCTAAAATCTAGTGGATGAGGTAAGACAAACTTAATAAATAAAAATAAGAGACTTAAATAATGGATAAAAACGAAGTGTAAAAAGAAGGTTAGAACACTGGCAGTGAACGCACCTTCCTGAGTAATTTTTTAAAAAATATACAGTGATTTTATCCAGAAGTTCAGCTTTTTGGCTGCACTCAAAAATGTGGTTTAATGGTTTTCGCATGACAAAAAAGTTCTGGAGATTGGTCACACAACAAAGTGAATATACTTAAAACTACTGAAGTGCATACTTGAAAGTGGTTAAGATGGTCATTTTTATCACAATTAAAAAGAAAAAATATTGGAAGATCTACCAGCTCACATTCCCAGGGGCTGGAGCCGAGGGGTGGCTGCCACCTTGGACAGGGCAAGCGTCCTCTCCCTTCCCCGCACACCCCCACTCCTGGCCTGCCTCACTCGTTTACCTGCCTGGTCAGTGAGTGCTGCTGAGTTTGTAAGCCCCGCATCAGATCGCGGTTAACTGCCAAATGAACGGGTGGCAAAGACAAAAACTACAGGCACTAAGAGGATAGGGAGAGCAGGTCTGGCCGGGAGACCAGAGAACACTGTCTGGAGATTGAACTGGAGCTGGATCTTAAAAGAGAAAAGGAGGAGTGTTTATTAGACTATGATTTCAACTTGACATTTCAGGAAATCCAATTACTGTGAATAGAATGCTTAGCAACACTAAACTTTCTTGGCTATTTTTAAAAGCATTGCATAATGCAACAGGTTCTGTAGTGGCTGGATAGGGAAACAAAGACACATGACTCTCTATATATGTGCAGCGTATCTGGCAACCCGCAGTTCTGCTAAGTAAATGCCTCAGAGAAATGAGGAGACGTGAAAGAATGCTTACAGAATTACTTAGAATAGCAAAAAATGATAAGAATGTTTAAAGTTTCAAACGTTGTAAGCAACCCAAATGTCCATCAACAGAAAAATGGAAAAATCAACTGCAGTGTATTAATACAGTAGAAAACTACTTGGCATTGAAAAATGAATAATTTAGACCAGCAGTGGGTAAACCATGGCCTGTGGGTCAGCTCTTACCTGCAGCCTGTTTTTGTACATCCTGTGTGCTAAGAACGCTTTTGTTTGTTTGTTTTTGCATTTTGAAGAGTTGTTAAAAAACAAAGACAAAACACGTAAGAATATGCACCAGAGACCACATATGGCCCACAAACCCTAAAATAATTACTATCTGGTTCTTTATTTTAAAAGCCTGCTGACCTGTGATGATGAACTTCAAAAGCACAATGCCAAAAGCAAAAAACAAGCTGCAGGACAAAACACACAAGACATCACTTATACAGAATTTGTAAACACGCAAAATAATCCCACAAACATCTACACATACAGCAAAAGGATAAGGGAATTCGTGCAGATAATAAACACCAATCCATCACAGTGGGTATGGGGCGGGGGAGAAACCGGCCGAAAAAAAGGGCACACAAAGGGCTTGAACTTTAACTGTACTTGTCAAGTTTTATTTCTTTATGTCAGATCAGGTGGGAGGCTGGGTGTTCACTGTTATTATTCTTTATACCTTTCTGTGTAGTATCTTCAAGTAGTGTATTTTAAAGTAAGCATCAGTACTTATTCTCTCTCAAACAGCAACTGGCCAGCACTCTCTTCCTTCTTAGAGGAGCACTGCTGTCAAAGCAGCTGCATCACACCAACAATTCCAGGATCAACTTTTCTAAGTCAGGGTATTTTGGAAAGTAAAGTAGGTGGGGGAACAGTGTGTATCCATGTTGAAAGGTGAGGGCTCAGCTGACCAGGCTGTGATTTGAATCTGACATTTCAGGAAGTCTGGTTATCCGGGACAGAATGCTTAGCAACATCAAGCTTTCTTGGCTATTTTTAAAAAGCACTGCATACTGCAACAGGCTTTGTGGTGGATGGGCGGGGGAAATGCAAGGGCAATTAGCATTCCAGAATTCCATCACCAGCCACAGAGTTTAATGATACACAGAACCCGCTGAGCGTTTGTCAGCTCGAGGCAAGACATCAGCAGAAGAGGCCATTCTCAGGGAAACCTGCCCTCAGTATGAGAAAGTCACTAGGAATGTGGGTTAAATAGTTGTGGGAATCAAACTGATAAGCACAAGGAATTAAAACTGTTTCAACAGCCACTTTAAGTGGGATAAATCTTTGGAAAAAATTAAGCTAGCAGGCAATTGTGGCAAATCCTGAAGGAAGTTTAGTTTCTCTTAAAATCCATTTGGAACAGTTATGCAAATTTTAGTTGTCATGAAAATATTAAACAAAAGCAAGGCTTTCAATAGCGCAGCCTGTTTCCATTTTCATGAAACAACTTTATTCATTAGCCAATCTATGGCCTCACATCTCTGTCACTGGAATGAAAAACAATCATTATTGATTGGAGTCAAAAGGGTAATAAAGTCACAAGGAACATGTCAAAACACTCAGTTTGTGACATGAAAGTCTTGCCAACTTGTTTCTTCCCACAATCCTATCCCAGAGAAAGTCATCGCAATCTTAAAATAGTCCAGGGAAAAGCTGGAAAATGACAGCAAGGGCATGAGAAATTCACACACACGGGGACCTACAGTTGGCATCTAAGAAAACAAATCCCCACCCCTCCACTAGCCGGGACATTTCTCCTACTACACCCAGCTCTACTGGTCCAGAGGCTCCAGAGCGAGGCCACAGCACCACCACAGGCCAACAGGTAAATTCTCTTTCTGAACATCCGTATGTGTCTCCCTGAAGATGGTGTGGAAACAGCCTCTGTCACTAAGATTTCTGCAAGGGTCCCATCCACGTGTATCAATTTTCAGATGAATAACCCATGTCTACGCAGATTATGTGATTTTTAAAACGTTTCCAGGTTTGGTCACCGCTGCAATTTCTTATCCCTAATCCCGCCTGCCACCGCTATCACATACCTGACACCACTTGCAGGCTAGAACTAAATAAAGGTAGAAAAGTGAAGGAGGATCACAGAATCAAAAGTCAGAAAAAGGGGCAGTCATTGCAGAATGAGGGAAATTATTTCATAATGTAGTTTTACTTTGGAGGAGTTTTTCTAAGAGAACAGCTTTTCTGAAGGCAAAATTAGGGTCAAGTAAACTGCATTCAATTATTCCCACTTTATGGTCCCTACACCAGGTTCAAAGGCTGAAATGTAAAAAGGAAGCTAGTATTTTAATTTTAGTAAAGAATTTCAATCTGACTCTGCAGAAGGCTTTCATGGAAACTTGAAGAAGTAGCACAACTGAGCTTCTTCAGTTTTTCTTCTCGAGTCCAGTTCAGGACAGAGTGCTGTTAAACTGGGAAACTGCACAGGTAGCTTCTCCAAAGGGGGAGAGAAAAAGGTCATGGGTATCCTCTATCTAGATGGACATGAGTTCCAGAATAACTGAAGAACTGCTATGTAAACAAATTTCTGACCAAATTCAAACACTGCATTGTCAATTTTTAGGATGTTATATGGTCTAAAAAGCCATGTTATCCAAATTTAACCAGAACTTTACATATTTAATTTACACATATTATTAATTATTAATATGAAATTCAAGATAATGGTTTCTAAAGGAATAAAGTAAACCCCACAAAAATAAGCTTAATTAAAGCAACAAAAAAATAGTAAATACTGTTAGAAAGCATGCTTCAAGGTCTTTACACATCCATGTGTGAAATCAAACTTACATGCCCATAAATGATGTAACAATTTAACTTAACTTCAAGACCATCTGAATTACTTACTGATACGATTATCTGCTTCACCAGCTTAGTATCGTCAATACAATCAAATGCCGCCAGTAAAACCAAATGGGAGTATTGGCCCTGTAACAATTGGAAGCCAGTAAAGGTTAAAAAAAAAAATGCATAGATTCTCCCTTTTCTTCCATCCCTGGAGTTACTTTATAAAGGTTACCAACTCCATAACTTTTCCTGCACAATCTAAATGAGACAGATAAACATTCAAAAAATGTCCTCTCATATCGCACCTAGTTAATTATACTCTAGGTTGGTTAAGAAAAAGACAGAAACTGAAGAGCACATTCTTCAATACCAAATAGCTGAGATTCTTTTTTTTTAACTAACTAACATCTAACACCTCTCAAAAATAGGTATCCTGTTAATGGATAGCTACTTGAGAATTAAACTCAAATTAAAAGGACAAGTGAAAAAAAAATAAAAAACAACAAATAAAACTATATAGAGTAAAGAAGACACGAATGAACTTATTTAAAAAACAGAAAGACTCACAGAAATAGTAAACAGACTTATGGTTACTGGGGGAAAGGGAATGGGAAGGGATAAATTGGGAGTTTGAGATTTGCAAATATTAACTACTATGTATAAAACAGAAAAAACAAATTTCTTCTGTATAGCACAGGGAACTATATTCAATACCTTGTAGTAACCTGTAATGAAAAAGAATATTAAAATACGAATATATGCATGTATATGTATGACAGAAACATTATGCTGTGCACCAGAAACTGACACATTGTAAATGACTATATTTCAGTAAAAATAAATAAATATATAACTATATAGAGTATCCCAAGCATAAAAAAGAAAGGGTATAAACTCAGATGTAATTACATATACAAAATATAAATAATACACACACACACAAAATCGTACAAGGAAAAACACTGTCATCTCTCGGTTGAAAGATCACAAATGATTTTTTTCATTTTCTTTTGTACATTGCCCAGTTTGTCTAAAATAATTCTATATAATTAAAATAGAAATATTAAAAAAACCTAGAAGAATATATTTATATAATGAATATGAGAATAAGATGTAAACAAGTGCTTTCGAGAGTTACAGATACTAATATATATAAAATAGATAACAGGTTTATACTGTATAGTTCAGGGAACTATATTCAATATCTTGTAGTAACTTATGGTGAAAAAGATGAAAATGAATATATGTATATTCCTATATAATTGAAGAATTATACTGTAAATCAGAAATTGACATTGCAAACTGACTATACACTAATAAAAATATACTTAAGAAAGTATACTAGCATGAGATGATACAAATATACATTAGGACTTTCACAATGGTTAATCCTGAAATGACAGAATTATTTCCATGATGCTGATATTGTTCAAAGATTTAAATTTCTACTCTATGTAAAAAAAAATTTTTTCAGAGCTTGTGGCATATTTCTTTTGTATCACAGATGATAACACAATCTTTTTTTATTTTGAGAGGAATTTGCCTTCTGATAACAGCCAACACTCATTCAGAGCCAGACCTGTTCAACATGGTAAGTAATAACATTTAAAATAACAAAGGTCTAACATCTTTACAATGTATAAGACCAACAATCAACTAAAAATGGACTAAGAACATGAAGAGTCAGTTCACAGACAAAGAGAAGTACCAATGGCTTTAAGCATACGAAGTATAATGTTCATTAATTAAGGACAATAATTAAAACAATGAAATTACCATTTCCCACCTTTCTACACAGAAAAGCAAAAATCCTTGATAATATACAAATTTGGCAAAGGTGTGGGGAAAAGCAGGCACACTTATGTTGCTGGTGAGAATGTAAAGTGGTTCAATCTCTTTGAAGGGCAACTGACAACAACTACAAAAATGTAAAATGCATGTACCTTTTGACCCAGCAATTCTACTTCTAGGGAGGACCTTACAGGCGTGCTTCTATGCATGAATGAAGGATAATGAAGGCTATGTCTTGGAATATTATTTGAAATAATAATAATAAATCATAATAAAAATAAAAAATAATAAAAAACTAGAAACTACTCAAGTGTCCAATTGTAGGGACAGGTTAAATGTCATATGACATAATATAAAGTTATTGACAAGTGTGAGATATAGGTGAATACAGAAGCTGGAACAGAATTTAAGATAAACAGACAATTCTACAACTATAGCTGGAAGTTTTAACATGCTTCTCTCAGCAACTAACAGAACTAGAAAATGATAAACACTATCAGCCCCTTGATCTAACCAACACTTACAGAGTACTACACCCTACAGCTCTGCACCACACATTCTTTCGAGACATTAAGATAGACTATATATTGAGCCATAAAATAAAGTCATTATAAACTTTAAAAGACTGAAATAATACAGAGTATGTCAAGAAATTCCTAATATTTGGAAATCAAATACTTCCAAATAACCCACAGACCAAATCCATCGGTTTTATTCATTTATCTCATCCCTTTAGAAGCAAATCCTTGAGATAAAAAAGGCACTGCCCTGCTAACCTGTTAACATCACAACGCCTGGCTGGGATTAGGTTCCCTCCAAAAATATTGCTGATGTAACCAAACTGTAAAATGAAAACATCTAACTTTATTACTGAAGAATATCTTTTACTATTAATACCTTTTAGAACTTTCTATTAACATTCTATTTGTACTCATTCTAACAGAATACTCAAATTAAGATTGTATATAAAAAGACTTACATAGAGATGAATTATAGGTCATAGCATTTTTTTATACTCTGAAAACAACTCACTAGAGAATCTCTTATTTCATTTGTTATACCCAAGTTAGCTGCCTTCTTCATGGTTTTATACTAACTCCCTTCCTCGTCTCCAACCCTACAGAAGACAACAGGTATGTATACAGTCACATAGCACCGATTTATCTGAGTTTGAATCAGCATTTACTATATCAAGGATTCACTCGACAGCAGTAGTTCTTACTGGATTTTTCACAGGGAAAAGTTACTATTTAGTATTTCAATACATAGAAATATTATTTTTTGAGGCTATTAATCCCTCAGAAAAAACACTTTTTGTATCATCTAATTTCATCAGGAAAGCTGTTATAGAATCTCCAAAAGATTCCAAAGAACTATGAAACTTTACAAGAATTTTCTTAGACCATACTACAAATTTAATCTAAGAAAAAAGAGACAAATTTCACTTTCCGTTATGTTTTTGGTGGTAATGAAAACTGGTAACAACTTTCTGAAGTGTAATTTACCTACAGACTAAATATCAGGTCTTCAAAAAATATCTAATAAAAATGGAAAATTGTCACAGTACAATATAAATGAAAAGAGGAGAAATTTCATTTTGTGTAAATTTAATAATATATAAAATACATGCACATGTGTAGAAACAGGATGTAACGTAATTTTCTTCTTGGATTTTCTTCTCAATTTTTCAAATTTTCTATAATAGATTCTTTTTACCATGAAAAATAATTAAAAGAAATATGCAGTCTTACTATACTTACATTAGCCACTTTTTCAACATAAGTCTTCATTGTTTTCACAATCACTTTCCTGTCCTTAAAAAAGAAAAATGTCTCAATGAACTTATAAATTTAGTTAGAGATTACACAGTATTTCATAGTTAAAAATTATATATAACATTAAACTTTCATCAGAGTTGCGTAATTTTCATTAGTGAAAATAGTTATTCAGCCAGAACAAAAAAAAAAAAAATGCAATATACTGTAAGAAACCCGCTCAGAGTTATTCTAATCTTAGACCCACATGTGACAACCCATTGAGACATAAACATGGAACCATAAAAATTATTAGTTGCCAGGCAAACCTACTGAAACAAGCTCCTCTTAGAATAAGAACTGAGCTCCCCTCTTCCAAGGTCTGAACTGACTTCAAATGCATACAAGTCTAGCACACAGATGGCCTTCAATACATTGTTGAAGGTAAATTAAATTTGCATTAATCTAAAAAGTAGACCAAGTACAACTGTCTTTCAAAGGCAGAATTATACTGGTCAAGGAAAAGAGGATCATTTCTGTTAAACGTCTGTAATTAATACACATGTTTACCTTTTCCCTCAAAGTACTGAAGACCCACAGGAGCACACCTGTGGCTGTTCAGTATCTTCCCCTTCCTCTCCCTCCTGGGCAACAAGATCAGTAAATAAGGAATCAAAGAGCCTGACAGGTACCACAACTTCTAGACACTTAAGCCTAACAGAAACGCTGTGCTCACTTGTATGACAGAGCCCTGCCCGTACAATGACAGCTCAAGGTTTTCAAACTTTTTAAGGAAGACCCCAGTAGAGAAGAATCACACGGTCCAAAGTGGAGCCGATTTCAGTGAGTTCCTGAGGCACAACTTTGCAAAGGTAATGCTTTAATGCAGAACAGCGCAAAAACCAAAGGAGACTGGAAGTCGGAGAAAAGGCAAGCCAAGCCCTGAGTGGCACGCTTACCTTGGGCGTGCCGTGCCACAGGCAGTGCATGGCCACTCTGGCGCCATCGTGCGTGTGCGCCAGGTACACCACCGCTTCTCGGATGGCTTCAATCATTTCCTGCGGAATAAATGCAGTCAGCGCTTTGGTTTACTCTTTCTGCCTTTTCAAAATCTGTCTACTAAGGAGCAGTTATGTACAGAGAATGAAAGGAAGAAAGCACACGTAGTAAATATTTTAATTTTTAACTTCTGTAGATAGGCATGTAAACACGCAACTTCTTTCTGGAAACATTCTTTTCCATTAAAAGCAGCAAATACTGCTGACAGGCAATTTCTATTAAAATACCTGAGTTTTACCAATGACTATTCAAAAAACTATGTAGGGTGGACCCTCAAATGTGGTTTGAGCCACATGGGTCCACTTATACGTGGATTTTTTTCAGTAAGCACGTATGACAACACTACACGATCTGCGGCTGGGTAAATCCACAATCGGAAATGCCGATGGGAGGGCTGATTATACGTGGATTTTTGACTGGTGGTGGATGGGAGTGTTGGCACCCCCAACTCCCATACTGTTCAGGGGTCAAGTGTATGCGTATAGTAGATTCTAAATTTTTCAAAAAAAAAAAATCTAAGAGTTGGCTGGAGAAGGAAGGGAGTTTTAACAGAAAAGCCAGATGAAATAAATAAAATGTTCTTCCATAAAAGAGTCAAATATATGATGAAGAGAAAACAAAAACACTTGACACAACATTGTAAAATGATTATAAATCAATAAAAAATGTTTAAAAAAAAAAAAGAAAACCAAAACACTAATTTCTGGCCAAAAAAAGATTTTCTTTTTTAGTTTATCACTGGATTACCTCTGGAAATCGTATTAGTAATTCACAATAAAGACACTTAACATTTCTCTAAGAACTAATCTCTGTAGTAACACTGAGCCTAGGCCTTCACTTACCAAAGAACTTTTAGTAAAAATCCAATCATTAATTTATTACAAAGTCTCCTGCCAGGAGGGAGAAAGGTAGATCCCATTTTTATCAATAAGGAATGAGCAATTTCACCCTTAACTATCTTATAATCCTCTGCAAGGATGAATCTCAAGAATGCAGCTTTCAGCTTACATACCTAAACTTACGAATCTCTTCAAAGTTATCCAACTGGAGAGTTATATATATATTCTAATTATGCTTCCCTTATCTCCAAAGGTGTTTTAAGTCTCCTTTTGAAAAAGCCCCAGGGCCAGAAAGATTTGTCTGATTACTTTATATTCACACTAAGTTCCCAATGATTTTTTGCAATTACTAAAACACATTCAATACTAACAAGATAAAGTCTTTCCACTACTGAACATATTCAACTGATCATTTTTCTCAGTTCTGAGAATAAACTCCTGCCTCAGTAAATCTAGAACTTTGAGATCTATGCTGTGCAGGAATGGGAAACCCCCCAAAGGGAAGCAGCAGCATGCTTAGGTAGGTGCCTGCTCTTGGAAAACTGTTTTGCATGTCAGTTTTGAGAGGGTCAAAATTCCTATGAATGTTTAACCTGGTACATTTTTTTAAAAAGTGAGTCTTATTATTTGGTTATTACTTATTATCAGAATGAGAACAAATGGACAATGAGTTCACAGTAATGATGAGGCAAGCAAGTATCAGAGGGCTAAATGAATTCTCATCTGCAGTCCCATCACTGTCTTGAAGGGCAGTGCAATTTACCTTCACTCTCATATAAGGTGCAGTTTTTCATGGTCCATTTAGTTTTACCTAGTATCCTCCCCTAACCTCTTAAAGTCAACATAAATTTTTTTGGTATCAACACAGGTGAATTTCAAACTCCCTGAATGCTGAATATTCCTCCAATGTGTTAGTTAGTTAATTTTCTGGTTAGGTTAAGCTAGAGGATACTCTCTGGATTACAATTAAAGTATAACAATTCAATGAAATTGATAAAACTATGGTCAATTCTAGTGTCTTCTGGCAAAAAAGCTCAATGGAATTAGCAGACATGTTCAAAGGAAATTTAGTGTATTATCATTCCCAAATAAGAAAACAATTCTTTAAAATTTCCAAAAGCCAATATACATCAAAGCAGTATTTCACTTTTTTACACAGCTCTCCCTCCATGTTCCAGTTTAAAAACTAAAACCAAGAACTTACTGATCTTAGCTTTGGGGGTGCATAGGTAAAAAAGTCCAAGAATACTTTATGCACTAGTGAGTGCTTAATCACAGCTTCCCTGAAAACAGAAGAAAAGAAAAGAAAATACATCAGATCTGGCACTGCAATAATACAGAGGTAGGTAACCTTGGTTGTCCTGAAATAATCAAAACAAGTGAAATGGTTTTAGTGAGTGTAATCTGGCATATGATAGACTGTATCTTTAGCAATACTAAGACTTAAAATAAAAAAAACCTGGACTCTTAAGAATATTTAGTGTCATCTAGTATCTAATTGTCAAACATGAAATTATTCAAAACACACTTGACTTTCTTAAATAAGGACACCCATATTCTTTTACCTAATACTGGACATGTAAAGAGAAATCCACATTTGGACTATTTTTTTAATAGCTATTTTCTTTTTGACAAGCCTTCTTTATGTGGGTTAGTTTCACAAAATAATTTTAGCAGTTAAAACCTGAATAGATGAGTCTAGTGGCACCAACTGCCACAATGCCTAACTGATCCATGCCTCCTGGTGTGACACTTGGTGAATTCAGGGGTACAGTAGAGGCACCAAAGACTTCAAGTACACACGGAGTACCCAAACAGATGGCAAAACATGTTGTTTTTAATGGTAAAGCACTGTTCTGAGCATTCTGGAAGTATTAACCCATTTAATCCTCATAAAACTCTATGAAATATGTACTATTATTATCCCAATTTTATAGATATGGAAACAGAGGCACAGAGAGGTTAAGTTGCTCAAGGTCACATAGTTAATAATTGAGGATTCACACCAGGAAGTCTGGTTCCAGAGGCCATGCCCAAACCACTCCACTGTGGCACAGATGCTAAGACAACCATGCGCAGGGGCTTTTATGTCCCACAATCCGATTTAAATAACTGACTGTAACTGGGAAACCATCCACCTTTTCTATAGCAAAGGCTATATAAAACTTTCTTCCTGTGAATGCCATTTGTTAAGACAAAACAAAAACAGCTTTCTTACTTTTGGGCCATGGGCGTTAGAATCTGTTTCATTTCATCCATGATAAGCTCTAGTTTTTCTGGCTGTACCTCTAATACTCTGTCCAGAGTTGGGTGATCTGCTGACTGCAAAGGAAAAATCAAACCCTTCTAAATTTAATCAAGTTTCTTCAACTTCAGAACAAAGAAAATGAGTCATTTTACATAAACTTAAAATAATTTTCAGATCTCCCATATTTACGTAACAAGAGCCCGGCAGCAGATACCCTCACGGAGAAATTCCTGATTATCTCATCCTGTCTGTACACCCATCAATGTACCCACAGAGCAAAGCTGAGTAACAAACCAACTCAACCAGCCAGTACATACCTGCCAAGCATCTAGCACGTACCTAATCACAAGATCAAGCAGTCAGTTAACAAATTCTTGCCACTATGTGTTTGTTCTGTAATGAGCTGGATATTCTTATACTGACTGGTACAAAAGAAACAGAGCACTAAGTTCCACCTAGGAGCTGAATCTGATTAGAAGAGGCAACCCATGAATTAATCCATCACTCTTGAGACAAATGTGTGTATTTGTGTCTTAAGGACTGAAAGAGATGCTTTAACTGTCCCGGTCCCATTACTGGCCTGGTACTAAATCCAAGGTTGTTGGGTCTCCCTACTCCGGTTCCTCCCTGGATACAACGTGGAGAAACACAGGAGAAGGTAGTGACAGGGAGCTTGATTCAACCAGAGCTGGTCAGGGAGTGTTGACAAAGCTTCACTGACTATTAAGAATCTTCTTCCTTGGTCTATCTGACTGTAGAAACAGACGTACTGAAGCATTACACAGAGTACTCGGGAAGTAGAAGCAAGAGCAGTTTAACTTACAGGGGATTTAAAGACGGTGCTCTGGGAGGAGGAATTGTACGATCACCTGCTCATTACACCAGAGACTAAACTAATCCCAGAGAATAAAGGGTATGAGAGTCTCTTAAAGGACCAACCAAAGTGAAAATACATTGTGAAAACAACAGCACACAGAAGAAGTAAGCACTCTGGGAAGAACGCCCTGCAACATCACCTTGTAGAGCTGAAACGTGTTCCCATAGAGCTCTTCTGTCAGCATGTTCCTCTGCTCCAAGATGGCTTTGTCATTGTAGGCGTACTCCACGATGGCTGACGCTTCCGCGTGCCGCAGCAGCTTCCTCACGTGGCCTTTAAAACTTCTCATTATCTCCGCGATCTGTGCTTTACTCCTGAACCCAACGTAACCGTGGGAAAAGATCATGATAGAAGGAGAAAGTTGGGAGGCAACAAAACGTAACTTACTTCTCTTAAGACCACCTCATCATTGTGTGCATGGGGCGTCTAACCTAGAGACATGCTATGAGAAGGAACATCAAGCTGCCCTGTGTTTCTACCTCAAGCTTTCTAAGTGACTCAGGGGCCAGCCTGCCTAGGTTTGAAAGCTAGCTGCTTCCCGGATGAGAGACCCTAGGCAGGTTACTGGACTTCCCTGCACCTCAGTGTCTTCAGTTGTAGAACAGAAAGCATAAGGCTGATGGGAGG